CGTGTGAGCGGCGAGAGCCGGCCGGCGGCCGCGGAGCGCATCCTCGCGCGCGGCGGCTGTGCGGGGCCTTCTTGGCTTGGGGCCGGCCGGAGCGCGCGGAGAGAGTCGCAAGCACTTGGCCGGTGCTTGGGTTTTGCCGCGACCCAGGTTCCCAGCACGTGGGGAGCGGCAGGGAGGGGGAGGGTGCGGCGGCTTAGGCGAGCCCGGGAGGGCGCGGGGCGGGTCTGCGGGAAGTTTGAGGCGGGAAGGGCAACTGTGGGACCTGGATGGAAGCCTTGGGAGAACGGGGTGGCGGGGCGTCAGGGAGGGAGGCTGATTGGAGCGAAGCTGGGATGGACGGATGAGGGAAGCAGGTTTCCAAACCCCTTTCGAGTACTGCTGAGAAAACTCGGCAGGAGCTAAGCAACTATTAAAAGACGGTGTAGAAGAGGAGAATTGAAACGATTTAAGGACTTAGGAAAGAGTCATTGTTGGGACTTGTGACGGGCTAGAGAGCGGCGTGCGCTTGGAGCTTTAGAGTTTAGGGTTGTGAGAAGAGTGTCAGAAAGAGGACTTAGAGAATGGAGATGAACGGGAAAAGGAAGTTCCAATATACAGAGAAAGCCATTTTGAGGGGCGAAAGAAGAAAAGGAAAGAACAAAAAGGAGTGAGCTTTCCTAACGAAGAGAGACTTTCGGAAAGGAGGCAATTTGTTAAGAGTACTTAGATTTTTAAGAGTCAGTTGTTTCATAGTAGGGTTGGAATTAATATTTAGCATTAGCAATAAATGCTGAGTCGCGTGATCACTTTTTTAGAGAACCTGTTCTTGCAGAGTCTCCAGGACTGTACGTAGTCTCCAGAGAATTAAAATCCTAATCCAGGTGCAGAGTTTTTTATAATTAGTTGTCGACAGGCTATATTCCCCCTCTTTTTTTTTGTGGAACGGAAATAATTTTAGGAGTGAATTCTCTTTGCTGAGGTCGGAGGACAAGCTCTGCTCTCAGTAGGCTGTCTCGGTACTTTCTGGCTGGGGAAGGATCTGACGTCTCCTTCCCCCGCTTCTTCCTCTCCCTCCCCTGCCAGAGATCTCCTTTGTTTATTCGTGGATGGCTTGTAGGTGACTCTCCAGTGTTATACTGAAATCTTGAGAAGTGGAAATGCTCTGTCGTCCATTATTTCAGCCCAAACTCCTTATTTAAAAATTCAGATGTACTGTGTAGAAAATGTTACCTTTTTTAAAAAAAATTCATGGGATGTCTGCACGTCCAAACTGGAAAAGTATTATTTAAATTTTATCACTGCACTATCAATTTACCTGTGAAGGAACATGTTTATTTTGACCTATGCATTTTTCCTAAGATTCTATAGTATCATTTTCCTATGTTCTTCTCATGAGAGCATTTTCAAAACTTTCCCTCACTTCAGTATATGAAGATCATAGTGATAGGAATTGGGGCTTGATTTAAAGACAGCCTTTTTTCCCCCTCACTTCATTTGTTTGACCAAGTATTTTAATAAGATTCTGTTTTCCATTTTTGGGTTATATGTGTGTCACATAGTATCATTTTGCTTTATTAATCTATATTAATAATGCTACATAGTTGTAGTTAGTCTCTAAAATTTACCAGTCTACAAATATTTTAATTTCTGTCAAAAAATGTATTCCTAGCAGTGCTTAATTCTAGTAAGTAATCAAATACAGTTACTGGAAGCCTGGATATTTTAAGTAAAAGACTCCACCTCTTCCTTACCACCTTTAGTCTCTTTGGCGTTAGGTAGGTTTGTGCATGTTCTAAACAAGCTAATTTATCTTTTTTCTATAGGACATTGTCTTACTTTCTTAATGTATTTTTTTTTTTTAGGTGAATCAAAACAGTCCCAGGAAATCTGAATGTTGAAGAAAATTCATCTGAATTTTTGATATTCAAGGGGAGTCAGTATTTATATTCATCTTTTAAACTGGGAAGATTTATATTTTATTTTAAAACTTCTGATATTTACAATGAATGGACACAGTGATGAAGAAAGTGTTAGAAACAGTAGTGGAGACTCAAGGTAAGCAGTTTATTTGTTGTGAAGTATTTATTATGAAGAGTTTTGAAAACTTGTTTGACACTTTGCTTACTTCTCCCCATAAGCAGCAGTTTTCAGATGTCAGATTGTTCCTCTTAGCTATCCAAATAGTAAAAAGTTTCCGCTAGCTCTATTGAAACTTTGTTGATAATACAGATTTTAATTTTTTTTTTTTTTTTCATTCAGATACACCAAGAAGAGTTTAAATGTAGAAAGTTTGGGCTTACTTAGATCTGTTGGAAACTTTGTATTGTTTGGGTTAGTAATTGAACCTGTAGCAAGTGAAAAAGAAAGACATTTAAATTTATTTGATTAATTAAAGTACATACAGTTAAAAATTACTCAGTCACAGTGGGCACATTTCAAGTGCTCAGTAGCCACTAATGTTTATAATATTGGACAGCACAGATATAAAACATTTCCATCATTGCAGAAAGTTCTTTTGGACAGCACTGATAAGGACGTTTGTTGAAGTATTCCTGGACCCAATTTTTTTCTGTTTTCTTTTCAAATTGGAGTTTTAATTGTCTATGAATAAATTAACAGTTCTTACTAGGGCCATGTCTTTGGAAGGAAGATAGAGTTTATAGGAAAAAACTATATTATACTAGTTTAATGTGTAAGAAACTTCCTTAAATGAAAAGATCCTAAATTTTTCTGTAGCTCCTAAATTTTGAGTTACTTATACGTTAATAATAGAACCTATGTAGTTACATGCATTCATCATATGTACAGATAAGGACATGGCATTGGAGTCACACTGCCCAGTTCTGCCTCTTATTAGTTATGTGAATTAACCTCTTAGAGTCTGATTTTTGCATCCATAAATTCAGGATTACAGTATTGTTTATTTAAGTTGAAAGTTAAGTGAAATGCTACACATAGAGGGCTTAAAATAGTTCCTGTTACAATAAGCAGTAAATATTTACTTATAATTAACATCGTGTTTCACGTAACAGGATAACATGTAACTGAAACATTGAGTACAATGATGAAGAAATGGAATGGTAAGAAACAGGAAAATTCAGCAGTTAGGAGGGTTTCTGAAAAAGTGTTGGATAGAAAATAAAGCAGTGGTATGTTTGACCTGTGACTTGGAATTTTCTGTGCGTGCCCAGTTTCAATATTCATTTCCGTGTTTTTCTAGGTATACTTTATCTGTCTTCACGGGCAGACTCTTGGGATTACAAGAACATCATACGTGTATTTTCTTTAAAGAAATAAGTAAGGAGCAGTTATGGGAGTAGCATGATTTAGTTGAATCAGTATTGGTTTAGGAGATACAGAATGAGTTAAGATCATTTCTAGGTCTAATTAACATTATAACTAAGTCTCTGATGATTTTCTCGAGTGTAAAATGAGAAGTGAAGTGATTGAAGTTTCAACCTACCACTTCACTACAAAGTTTAATAAACTTTCAGACAACAAGGGTTTGACTAAAATCACCAGAGTTGATAGGTTAAATTAGAAGACTACTGAATCTCAGCTTTGAGTCAGATCTCTATAGATATTTGATTTTAGTAGGTGAGTGGAAGAATCATTTCATTGACCACATTCTTTTACTCATTAATGAGCAATGAAATGGTTCATAGATAGGAGTATCTAGAAGAAACACAGGAATCAAGCTACCCATACAATAGAAAATAAGACTCTTGAGAGTAAATCTTTTTGTGTAGTATGCAGAGAGATCACATGTTGTTATATTCTGATTCTTAACCTGTTAGAGTAACCTTTTATGTATTTTGCTGTGTGCTGCCCTGTCTAAAGCAAGACAGAGTAGTAAGGCAAATAAAAGAGGTCTTTTTCAATGAATATCCATTTTAAATACTTCCAGAATAATTTCTCTAGTTATTATGTCATTTCTATAATTTTATGTGCTTCTGAGACGCGTGGTTGTCAAGTTATCTAGTTCTTGAAGCTGCCTTGGAGTTTGTCTGGAGGAGAGAGACTTGCTTCTATTTTGCTTTCATTTTCTTCCTTACTGCTGTTTTGATATGCATTTCCTTCGCCTCTAGTGTCATTGTTACTAATCCTCAATTCCCATCCCCTCTTGCAAAGCTTCTGTAATAAGGCAGTACCTGTAACGGAGATTATGCCTAGTTGAAAGACTGAGGAGGTGAAGTTTATAGATACAGGGATTTCTGTGTTTAATTAAAAAAAGTTACCATAACTGAATATCAGTATAGAATAATGAGAGGAGAAATTTGCTCAGCTTTTAAAATTCATATACATTGTACATTTTTTTTTTTGCAGAAAAATTGATTTTAATAGGCTAGAATTTTTAAATTTAATTTTGCTTCAGAATTTTCTTTTTTTAGTGGAAGTTTATGACATGAAGTAGAATTAAGCAAAATGTCATTTGGCATTTTTGGTAGGTGAAATTCACCTTCAAGTAAAAAATGTTTTTTTGATTGTTTCTGTGTAGAGAGCTCTCTTACCATTTACTGAAAGGAAGAAGAATACATAGGAAAATAGGTCTCTTTGTCTGTACTATAACTGATAATTTTGAATCTTACTTACTAAGAAATGTGGGCCAGGATGCACCTGTACAGCAGTTTCAGCTCAACACAAAGTTTCATCTAACTGAAGTTACTTTCTAAAGAGACTTCTGCAAGATTTTAAAGCGTGAATTTCCAGCTGCGTGGATTTGTGATGTTACTTGGAAACAAGTTTTTCAAATGCTGGTTAGACATTTTCTATTTTAAAATTACTTTGGATGACGATTTGTTCCAGGAATAGATTTATGGGTAAAGATCAGAAATATATGGTCACATTCTGCTCAGATTTGGATGATTGAGGGATGCTTAATATTCAGAAGAATGTGTGTGCATGTAGATTAAATTTTCAGTAATGTAAGTTCGTCCGTGTAAAATTTGAGAATTTGAATCACTTTAAGTAGGCCCTATATTGAGTCGCTATAAGTCAGAATCGACTTGGAAAGCAATGGATTTAGTTTTTGTTTTTATAGATTATGGAGCCCTGGTGGCATAGTGGCTAAGAGCTCAGCTGCTAACCGAAAGGTTGGCAGTTCAAATCCACCAGCTGCTCCTTGGAAACCCTATGGGCCAGTTCTGTTCTGTCCTGTAGAATCACTTTGAGTCGGAATCAACTCAACAGCAACAGCGATTTTTTTTTTTTAAATATAGCTTATGCTTTTGAATAATTCTCATAGAATGGGGAGAGATCGTGATGTGCTGTAATAATGTTAACTTTTTTTCTGTAGTTGGCAGTGGAGCTTTGTTGACCTGATTATGACATTTGTTTTAAGTTTCATTGTAGGTTTTTACAGCATTAACAATGCTTGATTTAACTAAAACGTATGTATATACCTGCAAATTTTTATTTACATAGAGGAATTCTGTGTTGCACTTGAATTTCCTCGGCTTGTACAAAATGCTTTACTTATTGTTTTATATTTCAGGAATCTTTGGATCACTTTTAACGTAGTTTTGGGAAGCAGTTATGGGTAGGTAGTGAGAGGAAATATGATCAGTGGAAATGTTCTTAATAAAAATCTCCTTAGAAATTCAGACTTTAAAGGCTTTTTAAAGGCTGTGTGAAGCCCTAGTGTAATTGACCTGTTAAATATAAGAAACACTGAGTCAAAGTCAATTTGAACACAGGCCACATTTTTCACCAAGTATCTGTTAGTGTCCTGTTGAATACTACTACTGTGGCACACCAGTTAGGGCAACATTGCACTTACACATATATGTACCAGGAAGATTTCTTGTCACCAAAATCAGTTGCTTTAACTAACTAAAATAGAAATTTGAACAACTTTTTGTTTCTGTACTTATTTTGCATTTATCTCAGTTTTTAAAAAGTCGGTATTTAAATTTCAAAACTTTAAGCTAAAAATCATTTCTAGGAAGACAAAATATGAAATCACAAAGCCTTTTAAAGGCAAAAAGTCATTGAGTTAAGTAAACTGGCTTTTTAAATTTTCTGTGATGTCACTGATTACAGGAAAGTATGATTCCTCTACATCTCATTTTTTGTTAATCCCTATTTGTCAGTTTAGTATGTGCTTTCTTCATCTTTTCCTATTACTTTTTTATTTCCCCAAATGTCTTGTACATACTCTACCCATTGCTGTCGAGTCAATAGCCACTCTATAGGACAGGATAGAACTGCCCCATAGGGTTTCCAAGCCTGTAAATCTTTACACAGGCAGACTCCTACAGTTCTCTCCCGCAGATTGGGTGGTGGGTTCAAACCACTGATCTTTTGTTTAGCAACTGAGTGCTTAACCACTACACCACCAGGGCTCCTTCCTGTTCATGCTACTGAATCCAAAAAAAACAATTTCTTTTTTAATAATATTTTATCATGTTTTAGGAGCAAATTGTTCCGTGCCATTGGTTACAATTTTTACAGTGTGTCAGCATTCTCAGTATTTCCATTCTGTTTGTTCTGTTTTCATTGATCTAACTTCTCTTCCCCTCCTTACCATCTCATTTTTCCTTTTGGAGAACTGTTGACCGTTTGGTCTTATATAATAAATTGTTTAAAGGAGCACATTACTCACAGGTGATATTGTTTATTTAGTAAGCCAATCTTTATTTGGCTGAAAGGAGACCTGCAGAAATGGCTTCAGTTCTGTGTTCAAAGGGAAAACCAACTCCTTTTTCTCTGAAAATTCAAACTTATTTAGCTGGAGATTTGGTAATAAGTATCTCTTTCAGGGCTTCGAACTGGTTAGTTCTGGTTGAATCCTTGCTGAGTATTTGCATTTCCACCCCGGATCTACTGAATCAGAATCTACATTTTAACATGCTCTGCCGGTGATTCTTATGTACGATAAAATTTGAGAACCACTGCTCTATTAGTGGTTCTCAGAATTGGATCCTAACAAGCAGCATTAGCATCACCTGGGAAGTTGTTAGAAATGTAAGTTCTCAGCAGGGATTCCAACCAGAGCGACCAGTTTCAAAGCCCTGATTTGGAGAAACAGAATCTCTCCAAATGGAATTTACTAA